TAATGTTAATGAAGACCCAGATGAATATAGTTTAAGCATGATGAAAGATGCGGTCAGCATTTACAATACACATAAGGCGAAATATAGGGGAATCAAGTTCATCATTTGTAGAGAAAAATGGAATAAAGACAGAAGGAGTGCATATACATATTGTATACTTTGGTAAGGCAAAACAATTAACTTTAAAGGCTCATTCCTATCTAATCTAAGAATATTAACTTCAACTAACTTTATCACAGTTTTACCATGATATTGAAGAAACAAGTTTCGACATACAAATTCTATTCTGTACATCTCGTGTCGAAAAACCGGACATCATAGTAGTGAAACCAATAAATTTTTCGCTGCGCATAGAATCTAAAATTGTTGTTATTTAAACAATTTTGAAACCATATATTATATTATTTATTTATTATTATTCATGTTGATTTGTGTACCAACCATATGAAATAAATAAATAACAAAATACATGGTATCAATATATTTCATAAGTAGTTGACAACATTCTTCACTATATTATTATTGATCAAATTGTAATAAATTCACATAAACAATATGACGCGATTGTTCTTGAATATTTTCGCGCACACTGGCGTATTTCCATGGCGCTCGCCAGAATTTTAATTTCATATTAATAAAATCATTATTTTTTTTTTTTTTTTTTTTAATAATGTTTTAAATTAATATACATATTTCCAGTAAACACTTATAATGTATTTTAGGTATCTTTATTATATAGAATGCAGTTAGCTGTCTTTAGACGTGTTTTAATTTTCGTACCGTATGTACATTTGATTTATGGGAATCGTGTAAGGCGAAGTCCGTGACGTATAACCAATGTCGGTACACCCAGCTCACATAAATAAAAAATATCAAAGTCATTCAAATTATAAACTAATTAGCAAGCGCACAATTGCATAGTAAAATCAATACATTCTTTGCACAGCTCAAAGTCTAAAACACATCTAATATACTGTAGCTACTCCGCTCAAAATCGTTTTTCTTTCGCAAAGATTTATCGTTACATAAACAATGTAGTATATAAGCCCTTTATATCCTATACTTTTAACTTCGCATCTAAGTTTCGAAACGTGTTCGGCTTTTTCATTTCTTTTTTTTTTTTTTTTTTTTTAACGGTACCTGTAAGTTAATATTAGTATACAATTAGGCTACCCTGCACTTCTTGTATACCTTATATTATTCTCAGAAGCGTACTCGGTGTGTGTTTTAACTTAAATTTCATTAAAAGGCATGTAATTGCCACGTTGATTCACACATGGAAGGCAGTATGCACCCTTTGTGAAGGTTATTATACTTTATATTATATGTGAGAATAATATTTAATTCACATTGTTCTTGGTAAAAGTAAAAAAATTGAATTAAAAATGGTAAGTATACACTGGATTCTATCAGTGTAATAATACACTGCAATATATAGTGTTTAACAAGCGAAAACAAGTAATACAATTACAAAATAATTAATAGAATGCAGCGATATACGATTTCTAATTATTTTATTAATTATTCGTATCTATACTTGTTTGATTATTTAGGTTAATATAAACTATGATTTTGTGTCTAAGCTTTAATTATAGTGAAAAAAAAAAAAGACCTAGAGGGGATCTATCACTAAATCATCTCTTGTAAATACGCTGATGGTAGACGGAGAGAGGAAAGTCGGATGGTATTTGTTTACAACCACGGACGACTGACGAGGCCATTTAAGTACTGCTAAAAATATATCAATATTCTGTAGGTTCTAGTCAGTCAAAAAAAAAAAAAAAATAGTTTTTAGACCTTCCGCTCTGACAAGATTGTGAGACTTTGGACGGTTCGATTTTAATTCTGTATAAATAATAACATTTCTTAATATCTCCTCTAGAGAACGGTTGGAGCACTTTTTTAAGGTTTGACATTTTGACAACACTATAATATTATACAAATTTCAGATTTTACAACATTTTTTTTCACGTCATATCTATTGAATTAATTCATATTTCTAAAAAACTCCTCGACCGTTCTCTAGAGAATATATGTTAAGAAATTTTAGGGTTTTTTTATAAAATTAAAATCGCACTGGCCTAAGTCTAAAAACGTTGTCACAGCCGAGGCATGTTTCTATTCGAAAACAACTGAATACTTTTTCTTAGATTCGTGTATATGACATATGCCTGCGAGTGCAAGAACGCGATTACGCAATAATTTGAGATCTCGGTTTTACTCGGATACCTGCACGTAATTAATTACACGATTTTTTTTTTTTTTTTAAATACCGGGGGGTAACTGTCTATAATTATATTGTAGAGTATAATTATGAGCGTCGAGTTATCCAATTGGATCGGGAGATTTCGAAAACAGTAAACGACGGTCTAGTATATTTCTAAATGGAACATTATAAATATTAGACCTTAACTCTACGACAATATAGATACAGACGAATGAAATAATAATTCAGATACCTTCAGCCTAGAATTTTAATGAAATTCGAAAATGTCAATACAGAACCACCGTGAATGACTGAGCAAGTCCGGGCCGCGGGCCGGTCGCTGTGTTTTGTGTTTGTAGACTGATTATAGACTATTATATATTATTGCCATGCATATTTTATACATTTTCCAATACCATTTAGATACCAACTAGCTATAACATAGAGAACGGATCGAATACGCCACTTCGTGATTTTAATTGTTAACGTTATCACAAAGAAAAACAATTAGAACCCGTCTCAAAAACTTAAACCGTGATTTCCGTGACATCCATTGATTTTCGGATATAAATATTATGGACATTATTTTTCTTCATTCGTATAACTACTGCTTAAAACACAGTTCTCTGATTTATTTGTTTTAAATGTAGATTTCCAAGGACCCGCCACTCTGATTTGATGATATTCTCATTTATATATTAAAAAAAAAAAACTTGTACGTCTCAGTTCTTGATAAATTACTAAATAATAATAACGACGACTTTTAGATTTGGAGAAAAGCGATGATTATATTGGTTTTACAATGATTTTTATTTGTTTTCATCTGTGAACAACTTTTTCACCAGAAATTTTGCTCCGATTTTCAATTGTAGTATTTTTTCTGATAGGAAATCGGACTGGGGTGATACTTTAGGAAAATATTTTTTTATTTTTCCAGGAGTCTTCATAATAAATGGGGAAAAACCGGGAAAAAGTAGGTGGTACTTATAAGACTCAACAACTTAACATATTAAATATTAGATACTTTTTAACTTTGCTAATTTAGTTTACGCCGATTTCGTTCATCGTATGGAAACACCATCGTCCTTCATACTTGTCTATATTATATGCCATGGATTTTATCCTGTAAAATGTTCATTCGTGAATCGTTGTCGTATACACGATATAGCACAATAAATACAATTATGTTTGGTCCGGATCCTTCGAATTTAGATACCCAATAATTTATTGTGTAGTCGTATACCGACAATAAATGTACACACCGGCTTGGTTTATAATCCTGCAAGAGAACATATCTATCTATTTTGTCCAAATTATAGTGTAGTGTAGCCAAAAACTCGACGTTCATCCGCACTGCAAACGGACTACACCAAAGCTACTGAACGGTCGTGTTTATAAAGAGGCTTGTTTGTTCGAATTCGACGGCGAATTTATCGAAATTATTATCGCTGATAACGAGAACAAAAATTAATTGTGTAGCCGATCGTGTAGCCTCGGCCTCGACAACGGCGGTAGCATGGAAAAATAGTCGGAAGATGCGTGCGCGTTTGTCCGATAGCCGCGGTAACCAGGCCGTCTGGTGGAAATCTGTCGCAACCGCTGACGGTGATAATTATTTAGACTTAAGAGTATATAGGTGAGTACCTACGCGTCCTTAAGATCGCCAAATAAATTAACCCCGCTGAAAAACAAAACGTTAGACACACGCAATACAGTATACGTGTTTCAAACGTAGGTAGGTGTACTTGTATAAATAACCGTAATAAACCTGTGTTAAAAAACACGGAAAACAAAAACTGCCACAGACCCACTGAGCATAATAATCGTATGATACAATAAACAATATATATACAGATGATGGTACCTATCGATTATGATACCTGATGGATAATTAAGAATTTTATTCGGAAATTATTTTCAAATCGTGTTTAATTTATTTCGTGTATTTTTTATTAAATAGAAATCGACTTGTGCGCAATAATGTTTATAGTTATAAAACATGACCGGTATTCGATATGTAACTCCGTAGGTAGATATTATAGAACACTAAAATCATAAAACCGTAAACAGTAAACTTTTTCGATTTTTTTTTTGTTTAAATAAAAGAAAGAATTAAACGATATAAAAATACAGCGGAACTCTTAAATCGAAACTCTAGCGATCAAACAAAACCGTATAGGCATACATTTTTGCATTTACATTTTTTTTTTTTATTACAGTTTTATTATTTCCCAAATGGCTGTATTAGGTATGTATCGAGTAAGGCTTACGATTTCACATGTACTTAAATACACGTGTACACGTGTAATTATGAAACACATGCATTGGTCGGTGTATTCACTATTACACGTGTATTTAATAATACACGTGATTTTGACATTGATCGTTACGCGATCACGCCCGGTGACGTAGAATATTAATATACTGATTTAACAAAAATAATGTTATTTATTTGTTAATATAATACAATAGTATTATCATATTATAGGTACCTACTACATGATACACAATAAATTATAATGGATTAAAGATAGGTATAAAAAAAAAAAAAAAACAAATGTAACAGCAATAAATAATGTGTAAACAATAATAATTGAAAACATTAGTCTAGCATTCCAGTCTTGGATAACATTATAAATTATAACTTACTAATTAAAGATATAGAAAAAACATCAACTACAAAACAAAGAATAATAAACAATAATAATTATTAGTCCAATGTGAAGGCATGGCCGGAAGAAAATAATAGTAATAATAATAATAAATTGTAAAAGTTAATAAATATGTTAATCAATTAAATTTTTATTTTGATACAAAAAACTAATTTGATTACATTTTCTGGGAGTAAGCAGCTCATTTTTGGTATAACAATATTTCCGGCAGTTGAAAAACATTTTTCAGAGCTGACTGATATAGCTAGTATTGTGAGATATTTTTTCGCACATCCGGAAATTATTGGATACATGATTGTTCTAGTACCCCACCACTCAAAAGGATCTAAATCAAATCTTAATTGAGGTTCAGCCAGATAACCCTGTAATTTTACTTTTGGATCATCCATATCGATCATTTCGTCACCGTATAATAACGCCATAGCATTTGTATGCGCATTTTTTGGATGTTCCGTAACTGAAACCTGCAGCGGATAGTTAGTTTCAAGTATACTTTTCATCTCTTTTCGAATGCTTTCTCTTGAGTCAAGTGACTCATGTTCTAAGTCCTTATATCTTGGATCGAGTAGAGCAGATATTTGATTTAAGCTTACAATACTTGATGATGTCCATTCGAGATTATTTTAGTGATTAGTGAGTGGTTAAAATACATTTCAATATCATCATCAATGTCATTTATTGATAAATGTTTTTTCTATTACTTTTTGAAGTAATTGTCTGATCATTGAAACGGGAGAATGTTTTTCATCAAAACATAATTTCATTATTATTTGTAGTGGTTTAAGACAAAATTAAAACAAATAAACGTACCTTGTTGACTGAGACTTTGTGGGCTTCAAATTATTGACTGATTTTAAATGTCGACCTAATGATCCCGTAGTCCCACCAGTACATGAAAATTCGTTTAAATCGTCTTCATGGAACATATTTCAATAGCCTATGTCTCCAATACGTTTGGTATACTGCCATACCCAACTTTTCAATTTTGACATTTTACAACTTGAGAGATGTCTCACTTTCGACTGAGAGACGACGGAAAACATATAATATGCTATCGATAAACTTGGAATATGTAACATACCTAGTGAGTCTATCGATTATTAAATTTGTTGGATAAACCTATTCCTGTTATTCCCGTTATTTACTTTTCGTAAATTATTAGACGTTTTAATCTTATTGATTCTATTCCATATTTTATCTTATATTCAACGTTAAATATTATATAGGTACTGTTATTATGAATATTATTTTTGTAAATGAAGTTGATTTCCACTATATAGATTATTATTATCATATGAATAAATAGCCGTTTGCATTATTGCATATTACTATCTTATTATCTTATGTAAAAAAAAAAACCTTTTATCCAATGTGACATTTACCGTATATGCTGGACAGACGATTTTATTTGACTTAAAATCATGTCATTGAGTCTGAATATGAATATTCTACGTCACTGGACGTGATTTTGTAACGGTCAATGTCAAAATCGCGGATATTATTAAATAATTAAATATTACAAAAAATTAAAAACAAAAATTATTAAATGGTTAATACTCATTGATAAATATATAGATAAATAATTTCTTAGTAGAAATAAATGATAGTAAATTAAATAAATTTATTATTTTATCATTTATTTCCACTTAAATACACGTCTATCCATGTACCCGTGTATTTTAAATACCCGTAGGAAATTGTAAGCTCCAGTATCGAGTGATCTATATATGTGTATATATTTTATTTTTTGACATTGTAAATAAAAACTATTCGTTTAATCGAAATAAGCGTTACAGTATCATGTAACATAAGAGTAAATCAGTGCTAAAATCGAGAAAAACGATTTGTTAGTTAATTTGAAAATATGAAATCAAAAGAAGAAAAAACTGATATTGCTTACGGGTATACCATTGTTAAGTTGACCTAACCCTCTTTAAGAAGTTGGGAAGATTAGATACATACACGCAAATATTTAATTTATATTTGTTCGTAACGATAAAACCGTTGCTAATGAAAAACGATTTTGAGCGAAGTTTGCTAGTACATGTTTTAAATTTTGATGATTTTCTTCAAAATTTGAGAATAAAACGCTCATGAAAAATTGTAAAAACCAGTATTATTTTATATAAATGAGAAAAAATTTAACAATTATGTTGTATACTAACAGCAATACACGTGGGAAGGGGTATTTGGTTTTGATCCCTCATCTTCTTTTGTTAAAATCTCAGATATCGTACAAACTAAATACCCATATTATTCTTTGTTAATAACTTTATTAAGACAATCTAGTTTTCAATATAACAGTCTTAACAGCTTCACAATTATACTATGTTGTTTATATTGTTTATGTGCACCTACATGTTTATACTACTGTATACTACTGTTTATGTATATTATTATACAAGTTTATTTGTTTTCTTGATTTTGATTGAAAAAATTGATCAAAAGACAAAAATGAAAAACTTAAAACGATTGCGAACAAAATTAAAATTAATAAGAACTGTCAAAAAATCTCGGGAATTAGTGAGAATAGTGGTGATTTGTCCTTATACGGATAACTTCCCTCCTCATAAACATGACTCCTTTGTCTCTGCTTTGATCTTTCCTTTCAAAAAACATGCCACTGCTCGTACTCGTTTACGATAAAATGCCTCAGAATACCAGGTACATGTATACTCATGCGACACCTGATACGCTATTGTTGAAAAGTCGTTTTGCTCGCAGATACATACAGCTCACATCATAGTAAAACCGATAAATTCTCCACTTCGCTCGGACTCTAAAATACCTATCTTAGCGAACACATAATATCGATTTTAAAACGTATTACCTATAATTTATTATCGTTTACAGTAGGTTTATTATTACCTACATAATGAGTGTATTTATATGCGATTCAATAATAATAATCGTACGGTACAGTAAAGTATGTGTTTCCACGTGTAGTACACTATATAATACCTTCTATTTTTGTATTTTATCATTCGTCGTTCTTTTGTATACCATAACACGTATAAGCCTGGTAATAATAATAATGATGCATAATAGATTGTAGCTTTGATTGTAATATTTTACAGTGTTTTTTTTTTTTTATTGTTTAATTGAAGGTTGTATTGTTTATACTATAAATATGAATACGTTAGTTTTGCATATTAACAATACCATGCACAATACTATACACACATAACATAGCATATTTATAAATATAATAACCTTTAACGCCTTTTGCTTCAATCGTTTATCACCGTTTTAAACGCTATAGCTAAATGGAGATATTTTTTCGTTTAAATTGTTCCGTTATAGTTTATGTTATACCCTGCGATTATCGTTACGGTAGGTGGACGCCTGTATTTGATCTGCGGCCGTAAACTGCTTAATAGTTAATAGGTAATTATTGGCACTTTTACGCACGATGCATAATATATAAATCTCCGTTTATCACGTAATAAAAATCGTATAATGCGCATTAAGAATTTTACGCGGGTCGGTATAGAGGAATTCGAATTCACCAGTATATTATTACGCACGTTCAATATATTATTTTGTACAATTTGTGCATATTATAATACCGTAACAATATACCTACCTGCCATTGCAATCCGTACCAACTACACTGCAGCGTATGGATGATATGCACAATAACTACTCTAACGTTTAAAATTATATTATACATATATAATTTTAATCTTAAACACAGTAATATTCAAACTCTGAATACAACAGTTTTTCATGAATTGAATAATGATTATCTGTATCTCAGTGATCTTCTTTTTGGTCTTCAATTTTTCGACTGGTTGTTGGCCGCAGCTCTCCATGCAACTCTGTCATAACTCAGCTCCCTCAGATTCCAATAATTTTCCATTCCCATGCTCTACATAATTCGTGATATATATACTATTATATCCTTTATTTTTCAGTTTTATCATCCGCTTTTCTTTCAATGACCATCTTAAAAAAACTGTCACGGTGCAGTATGTGACCTATCATAATATTCCTTCTATTTTTTTAAATTTGCCTTTTTTCAATAATTATTTTTAAGGCTTTTTCGTTTGTTACTTTATACACCACAAAATCTTATACTTCTTTAGGTAACACTATATTTCGAAAACCTCTAATTTTTTCTCGATTGCGCTTAATGTCCATTGTTCACATTCATATAAGGTCACACACCACTTCATATGAATGTTTTTACAAGTTTCTCCTGGTGTCCACGTTAAATCCCACATTTTTTGTGGTGACTAAATGGGTTTTTTTTTTGAAAATTTATTATTCTTCGTGCAATCCTATGAATTATATCTAACTTGCCTTTGTTTATTATCCTCTATTATTTTACTGCCAAAGTAACCGTAGATTTAAATTTCTTTAATAGTTTTTTTTTTTAATATTTATATTTAGTCAGTTTTTAAAATCATGACGTTACTTTAGAATTTTTTTTTGTTTAATATCATTCTATAATATTCCCTAAGATTTCATCTGTTTTATTAAGTTGAATTTTCATTCATAAACCGCTGTGTTATAAATAAAACATTGTCATGTTGAAGTGTACACAGATCTTGTTAAAATTCTTCGATGATCACTTTATAATATGATAATATTTTAAACACCTATCCATTTTTTTTTCTCCGTCCAAAACAGTCACACTAATTTAGGATGCACGATAAATGTCTTAATATAATATAATATTTGTAGATGTGTTTGCCTAGAGAGCCTTAATTAATACGGAGACACCGAATAAAAACTGTCCCGAGATGCCAAAATCCTTAATAAGCATATCTGCGTCAAACTATATACATTTCTGTGTGTTACGTACTTTATATTTACATTTATTGTGTCACGTACTGCGCGTCTATATACGATATTAAATATTTAAAACCAATAGTTATAATAGATGCTAAAATTTATTTCGATATTTATATTGTACCCATATTATAATTTGTGAAACTGACTTCATTATTTTTTTTTAATACATTATACATACACATAGGTCGTGAAAATTTAGGTTAAAAACTTAAACAAAAAAAATCATTTAAAACCATCTTTTGTGTATGTTTTTTTTCCGACAGCCTTATATTGTTAACATTTGTGCGTGTAACGGGGGTAAATACTTGAGACCCAAGTTAAACTTTTTTTTTTTTCAGATATTGTCTATATTACTTCATCTTCTAATTTTTGAAAATTATGTACCTTTATTATTATCATTATAATTATTAAATAATGTATAATGTATATAGTATATTGCGTGCATCGTACTGTAGGGCTCTGCGCATAAGGAGTTTTTTTTTACGTTTAAAACGCGTTAATTGAAATTGTATTATTATTATAAATTTTTTTTTAGATACAAAGAATTATTATTAAATAGGTCATTTATTTTTAGTTATTTGACATAAATCACGGTAAATTCATTTAATGCGCAGTTATAAAACTTAATTAAAATATATCTACTAAACACACAAAAGATAACTATCACCATGATGGTAAAATAATAAAATATTTTAATATTATTTTCAACAATATTAACTACGCTTCCTATAATAATTGTTCAACCTGCTCGTGTTTGTTGATGAAAACCGTTTAAATCTATTCAATTTATTTTAAAATATTTCGTAGAATTAATTCGTACGACATAAGACCTCTTTTAGTTCATAAACGCTTTATAAAACACAATATCACAACGATATTATGTAATAAATGTTATTAGCATAATGTTGTAATAATCGTAATAACTGTTTTGATCGTTGTAATACATATATAATTTATTGCTTGTAATAACGGCACAATTTTATCTTTATATCGATAAATGTATTCGTATAATAAAAACGTTAGATAAAATATTTCCAGACACAAATCGATCGACACGAGAGCGAAGGTCCGAACAATAAAGTCTCTGTAAAGTGCGTTTTAAAAATTGGAGAAATCGTCTCGGTTC